AATGCTGGTGTCTCATAAGCCAAATGCTATCATTAATTCAATGACAGGGACATGGATTTAAAAATAAGCCTATTTTTAAGTGAAAGCCAGTGAAAAGGTCAAACTTGAATAGGGAGCAGCTAGTCTTCTAAGACATTAGCTCTACAACAATGCTTCGAGCACGTGTGGTCAGTGTAGTTGTTGAGACATCCTCCACTCAAGATCAAGGAGTGTAGCTCACTTGAAAATCCAAGCCACTGAAGTGTCACTGAATGTGGGAAAATTGCGAATTCTGCAGATGATAGGTTCATGCTCTGATTAGAACCCTTTTTAGTTGAAAAAATAGGAAGTCCTGTGGAAACTTGTGATAAGCACAAACTACGTGGCCTTCTTATCACCAGACTGCCTTTCCTTGCCTCTCACAGTCAGGAAGAGCATTGAGAGGCAATAGCTAAACAAGGGATGCACAACTTCCCATTTGTTAAGATGACTCTGGGGGCTGGCACTGTGGCACAGTAGGTTAAAGCCCCAGCCTGCAGGGCTGGCAGCCCATATGGGAGCCGGTTCTAATCCTGGCTGCTCCACTTCTGATCCAGCTCTCTGCTGTGGCCTGGGAAAGCAGTAGAAGATGGCATAAGTCCTTCTTGGGCCCTTGCACCTGCATGGGAGACCTGGAAGAAGCTCCTGGCTTTGGATCAGCAGAGCTCTGGCTGTTTCAGTCATTTGGAATGAACTAGTGGATGGAAGACCTTTCTTTCTCTCTCTGACTCTACCTCTCTCTGTAACTGTGTCTTACAAATAAATAAATATTTTTTAAAAGATGCCTCTGGTGGCAATCTGAAGGGTAACATGAAGGGAATTGTTGTGGGTGCGATCGTGTCCCCTGAAAGCATGTAAAATTCCTGGTTTTCTGGTGCCTGTGAGTGTGATCTTCTTTGGAAACAGTCTTTGCAGATGTAATCAAGTTGAGATGAGGTCCTATTCAGCTGGGATCGGCCCTAACCCAAGATGACTGCTGTCCTCATAGAAAGAGAAGACAGAGACACAAACAGGGACACTCTGTGAAGGCACAGAAACAGCACAGAGGAGCAAAGGGAAAACTGCTTTCTGAAGAAGCAGGCAGGGCCTGGCGGGAAGCAGCCACGGGCCCAGGAACACCTGGGGCTACAGAAGCTGGGAGAGGCCAGGAAGGCATTTTCCCTGGGTGGTTCCCAGGCAGCACAGCCCTGCCAACATCTTGAGTTTAGAATGTGGCTCCCAGAACCGTGAGAGAATCAATTTCTATTGTTCAGCGCCACTGTGTGTGTGTGTGTGTTTATGGCAGCCCTGGCAGGCTGATCCAGGAAGTAGGAGAGGTGAGCAGAGCAAGGTTGCTCATGGGAAATAGTGTTGACTTGGACTAGGGGGTGTTCGTGGGGCTGGAGGGAGGTGAGGAGCAGTAACCAGCTTGATTGATGACTGGGCACGGGCAGGGAGATGAGGAAGCAACGATGACTCTCCTGCTTCTGACCTGAAGAACTGAATAGAATCGAGCCATTTCCCGAGAGGGGAAACATTGAAGGGGATGAAGTTTGGGGCAAAGATGGTGCTCTGAGACTGAGAACTTGCCTGAATGAAAGATTCATCGTACGGCCGTACATGCAAGTTTAAAGATCTGGACAGCCACAGTCATGTTGGTTAGAAATACAGATGGAAGTTAAAACCGTGCAAAGTGACGATGCCATTAATCTAAATGAATGTTCTGAGAGGAGATGAGCACTCTAAACATTTAAACAAATGGCAGAAGGATCTAGAAGAGTGAGCAAGAGAGGGAGAGGAACCAGAAGAGTATGGTATTACAGGAGCCATAGGAAGAGAGAGGTTCAAGAAGGCAACTTTCGGCAGTGTCTAAAGCTGCCAAAGGATCAAGTAAGACAAGGAATTAAAAGTGCCTTGGGATGGGTGCCGTGTAGACCGTTGCCAACCTGGGCAAGAGCGGTGTGTGTGGACTGTGTGGGAGCCGTCACATTGCCATGGACTGAAGAGTATGAGGAAGGTGAGAACATAGAGAAAACAAGAGAGACAAGTTTCTGAAGAAGTTTGAGAACTGGAGGAGAAGGATGCTTATTAACTAGAAAAGAACTTGATCTCACATACAAATTTTATTTAAGTAAGAGAAAGGAACGCTTAAGTGTGGAAAGAATTACCAGGAAGAGAGAATTTTAACTACAAAAGACATAGGACAATCTCTAGGATGGGCTGCTTCCAAGAGAGCTGGAGGGTTGTGATCCAGAGACTGAGTGGAACGGTTACCATCAGCAAGTTCAGGGATATATTCGAAGTTCCTGAAGGGAAGAAAGCCCAGTAAGGAATGAGTTCAGGCAGGTTTGCACATTTGGAAATGGAAAATTATAATGTATTTCTCTATGGTTTCTAATACTCTGTGAACTAGGAAGAGAAATTACTCACTAGAAATAGGGGAAGAGGTAATTAGGGATCCAGGGCAAACTTGAAATAGTTGTGGAGAACATGAGAGCAGGCTGAGTCGTGAATACAACAAGAAGAAAAAGCTGAGGAGTTAGAGGTGGATGATGAAGAGTGTATAAAACATTTCTCTGTGGGTTGCAAGGTTTTCTCCAGCATCTCTTAGCCCACAAACCTGCCCAGAGAAGTCAGAGGGCCTGGGACGATATGGGGAGAAATTCTAGGGGACAACACAGCCGGGGAGTTTAATGAGAAGGAGTTTAATGAGCTCAGAGTAGATTTGCTGGAAATAGTGCACTGACTGTCTGAAAGATAACGCAGCATGGAGAGAGAATGAGCTGGGTTCCTTTACTTCAGGGGTAGAGCAATCCTGGATGATATAAACGGCAACATCGAGCATCAGGAAGGGGTCACTGACAATGGGCAGAGCCTGTCCTGCTCATTTTGGTACCTGGTGTTTAGCACTCAGCATGTGGCTGCGAGCCTGGAGACATGATGATCACTGAGAACTGAGGGGACTGGAGCTGGTTTAGTTCCTGGAGTTCATCTGGGGGTAGGAAATAAATGAACACTATCTTCATGAGGAGAGCTTGGTAGACAAGCCTCCAAGGATGGAAGAGCCGCCAGATGGTTGTCCTGGAAGCGGGTGACCAGGCAGCTGAGGTCACACCTAGGGTAACCAGAGCAGTGTCTCACCAGCCAAACATTGTCGTCTGGAGTAGTTGCTCTTCTATTGACACATATTTGTACGTATTTCTAGGATCCAGTATGTAATTACATTCGTGGTTACAACGTACAATGATTAAATCAATGTCTTTAGCACTTCCATATTCTCAAACATTGATCGCTTCTGTGTTGGGAACATTAATATTCTTTTCTAGTTATTTTGAAATATATCCTAGATTGTTGTAGACTATATATTGCCCTACTAGACCAGAGAACACCAAAATGAGTTCCTTTTACCTGTTTTTTTTTTTTAATATTTTATTTGAAAGGCAGAGAGAGAGAGAGAGAGAGAGAGAGAGAGAGAAAATGAGCTCTTCTCTCTGCTGGTTCATTCCCTGAATGGCAGCAACAGCTGGGGCTGGGCCAGGCTGAAGCCAGGAGCTAGGCACCCCATCCTGGTCTCCCACATGGGTGTCAGGGGCCCAAGTGCTTGGGCCGTCCTCTGCTGCTTTCCCAGGTGCATTAGCAGGAAGCTGGATTGGAAGCAGAGCAGGTGGGACTTGAACTGGCAGTTATGACTGGGCTGATGCCATGTGACACAACAGTGGCCTTTTTGGTGCTCCTTCTGTGATTCCACTCCCTGTTTGTCTGCAAAATCCGTGTGATTGATCTGAAACCCCAAGGAGTTTGGGGGAGCAAGAAGAATCATCCCAGACACTGCTAGGCAATGGGCTGGCTCTGTTAGTAGGGAACTGGACCATGTCAATGCTTCTCAAATACTTTTTGTCCTAGTTTGGGCATCTCGCAGAGCTGATCTGTATTTACTTGACAGATAGTTTGAGAGGGCAGAAATATTAGTTTGGGGAAATGGAAACTGGGAGAGCAGGAACCACAGAGAGCGAGCTAATCTGTAGGTTGCTGCTGTGGGCAACTGGGACCCGTTCTGCTAGGGGTTCCTTGAGGAACCACAAAGAACACCTGGAGAAATGGTTGCACCAAGGGCTATGGGAGCTGGGTCACCTATGTTCTGTTAGAGAGTTGGTTGGAGGCTGTCAAACGCTGGGCTCTTCTGGTTTTCCCTGTACTTAGAGTGTGAGGAACTGTCCACCGTGGCCGCAGGCGGATTCAGAAACAAACACAGGGGATGTGGTGACTTCCCCAGGGTCTGCTGCATCTGTCACTAGAGCAAAGCCAGGCTGCAATGCAGTTTTCACTGGCTTGTGGCAAAAATAAGAAAAACAAAGGCAACAAAATACAGCTATTTACATATATGTGTATTTCCACCTCTATCTCTTTCAAAAAAAGTTGAGGGGCTGGCGTTGTGGTGCAGGAGGTTAAGCTGCCACTTATAGTGTTGGAATCTCTCATTGGAGTGCCAGGTCGAGTCCCAGCTGCCCTACAGCTGATCCAGTTCCCTGCTAATGTGCCTGGAACATCCACCCAGGATGAAGCTCTTGGCTCTTGGCTCTGGCGTAGCCCAGACCTAGCAGTGAACTGGGGATGGAAGATCTCTGTCTCTGTCTCTCTCTGTCTCTGTTTCTCTCTCTCTCTCTGTACTCTCCTCTCTGTATGTGTGTGTCCATCTGTTGCTCTGCCTTTCACGTAAAAATAAATAAATCTTTAACAAAACAAAGTTGAAAGCTTTTCTCTTTCTTGTTGTGGAGGTTAATTTTTGTCAACTTGATTGAGCCACGAGGCGCTGGACGCGCAGTCGGCTATTGTCGTAGGTGCGTCAAGTGTGAGTTTCTGGGCCAGGTAGGATGCGAGTCAGTAGACTGAGGAGAGCAGCTTGCCCTTTCCAGTACGGGCCGTGCCAGCCAATCAGGGGCAGGCCTGAACGGAACAAGGCTGACCCTCCCTCCAGGAGGAGCAGGCTCTTCCTGCCTGAATGCCTGGAGCCGGAGCATTGCTTTGGTTCTCTGCCTTTGGACTCGACCTGAAACCTTTGGGTGCCAAGCCTGTGGCTACCCCGTTGGCTCTCCTGGTCTCCAGCTTGTTGGCGAGCTCCAGTGGATCTTGGGACTCCCAGCCTTCAGGATCACGTAAGCTTGTTCTTCATCATAAATCTCCCCTCTCTCTAAAATACGCTCGTGGTTTTCTTTCTCTGGAGAACCCCAATTAATGCAGGACCTCAAAAAGAATGTGGAAAATGTATATCATGACACACCTAGGCGCGATTTCAAAAGTTTTTGCAAAATACATATATCCTTAATAATTCCATTTTCCACAAACTTTTTGAAGTGCCCTCCCACACATGTGAGGACAGTTCTGTGATTTAAGGATATGCCCTTTATTTTTGATGTTATACATGAGGACAAGGAGATAGGTGGAAGGAGAAGCTGACTGTGAGGCAGAGGTAGTAAACAAAGCTGATATTTTTTAAGTACCCGTCTATGTCAGGTTCCCTTGTTTCATAGCCTTGTCTTGGAGCAGACCAGGCTGAAACCACACAGCAAGTGCAGGGGCTCTGGCCACACAGCATCACTGCCCTCCTCAGAGTCTCTTGGGTCTGCCCTTACACTCTGGATAGAGCTCTGACTTAGCTGGACAAGCACTGTGCTTCAGGCTCTGTCCCCTGTGCAGGTCCCCAGGGTCATCCATTGTCACACCTCTTGGAGAGTGATGCTCCACCCATCCCTGTCTCTGTGCTCTTCCAGAAAGACTTCCAAAAAAATCACCTCTTTCTTCCAGGAATTCCTGAAACACTGTGTTTTTCCCTCTGCACAGCACCTGGAACTCTACTGGGAATGCTCATCTAGTAATTTCTCTTCTTGCCCAGACAGTGAATTCCTTGGGGGCGGAGGCTACATTTGTCTTGTCTACCACCATATCCTAACCTGAGCACAATGGCATGAAACCTAGCAGGCATCCAATCAGTTCTTGGGGAGTAAGTAAGTGAACTTCAACATCGGGTCTCTCTGCTTCAGTGGCCATGTTTTCCCTCCACTAACTGTCTCCAAAGTCCATTTGTGGGCATCCATGAGGTGACTGCAGATCATAATGGACTGAGTTCCAGTGTTGGTATCAGAAGAATTGGCTTGGTTCTCTTCTCCTTGTCTCAGATGCCCATTCTGAGCCTCAGTTGCTGTCTTCCCAAGCTGCTTAGGCAGTGCTCACTTCATAGTGCTGGACTGGTGACTAAATGGGGGTAATAAATGAGTTATTTTGATGAAGTCAGAAATATATAAATATGAGATTTGATTATAATATTGAACATTAAGAATTTCATGGCATAAACACTGAGTTCCAGATTTAATATAACTTCATGTCTGTTAATAACAAGCATCTTGAATTATTACTCAGAGGTGATAATGACAGAAATCTTCCTTGATAAAAAGTAGTTACTTCCTCAGGCAAAAGGTAAATGTTGAAGGCTATAAATAAATTATTCTTCTTTATCCTCATAGCATATTAGGGAAAATCACTAATATCTTTAATTCAGCACAATTGAAAGATAATGAAATATTCTTGGCTGGGTCTTGGAAAATTAAATAGATCAGTTATTTTAAGAGACACAGTAGAAAAGTTAAACATTATGAAAGGCTAAGTATATCTTAAATGGCATCAGCAATAATTCAATTCAAATAAATAGTAAGCAGAGATGTCAATAATAGTTCATATCCCCCTTATAGGATGCCCTCCTGAGTCTGCAGAGTCTTTTGTGGGAGAGTATGAGCACCACAAAGTGCACAGCATGATGTAGTCAGATGAGCAGCGAAACAATTTCTAAGTCTAAACCTTCAGGCTGTATCATAGGGACAGGGAGATTTATTTAAGCCTAAGGAGGGAGAAGACGAAATGTGACTTCTTCAGATGACGTTTACCCCCCCGCCCCCACACGGTAAAGTGTTTTTTTTTTTTTTAATAGAATTTTCGAAGGAAAGCACATCAAAATTGGGCATCTCCAAGTTAAAGAAATACACAGCTCCCTGAAGGCTCAGGAGACAAACTTGCTATATTGCATCTCATCTTTCAGTGCTTTCCATTATATTATTAGACCCTCATTTTGGTTCAAGACCAAAATTCATTCAACAAACACTTCCTGATTTTTCCACAATTTCCTGGGTTCTGTTTTAGTTGTGGGGCTACAATAGCAAGCAAGAGAGGTAGTATTCCCTGCCTGACAGCCTCTTGCCTCATTCATCCATTCACTGGGCCCTTTAAGACTGGGTTCTTTCTCTTCGCCAGCTCCTGGGGATTCAAACGAGACAAAAAGGCAGACCTGGTCTTAGTCGCCTTGGCCCTGACACATTCGTTAGACTAGCAACAGCCTTCAGTGGACAGTTTGCTGTGCGACAGGCACCGTGCTGAGCAGATGACTTTCAGAAAGATTTCCTTCGTACTCTGATGCTGATGTTGTTTGGTGGATGAGGAAACGGAGGCTAATGGGTGATTAACTTGTCCTAGTCAATACATGCAGATGCGGAGTTTGGAGCCAAATGGTTGGCTTGAAGTCCATGCTCTTATCCAGGCTGCTATCGTTTCTTGATGCTGGAGCTATTGACGGGAATCGCGAGTGGAGAGCCATGGTGGCTGGTTTGATGGTTGGCGTAGATATCATTCAAAGGGTTTGTCTTCCAGGTGTAATCCCTTCAAGGTGATTCACCTAGTGGGTCTTGTTGAATTCTTTTGTGAGAATTATATAAATTAATCTCATGTTACTGTTATGAAATTGAAGTTTTCATTTACAAATGCTTTTAATTAAAAAAAAAAAAACCAAAAAAGTGACTACAGTGAATGAACTGGACAGCTTTTAACAATATCAGGACTGATGTCTGTGGGGTTCCTTTGGCCTTTTCCTCGCAGTTGAAGGTGGCTGCCACAGCTTCAGCCATCATGTCTGCGTTCAAGGCAGGAGGGAGGAGAGGATGGGCAGCAGAGTCATTTGTTTCTTGTCAGGGAAGCGAACATTCTCAGGGCCTCCTCCACCTCTAGAAACTTCTGTTGACCTGTCAGAACACTGTTGTGTGACTACTGTCAGTCACAAGGGAGGGTGGGAAAGTAGTTCTGTATTTTACTTTCCAGCAGTTACAATGGGAGGTGGCAGAGAGAACAGGAGAGGAGGTGTGTGGGGATGACAGGTGTTGGTACAAAGGGCAGACTAGCAGGGGTAGCTTGCAGAGGTGTTGCAGAACCTGCAGGCCAGCATGGTGTTGCCACTGGAATGGACAGGTGGTGGTGAGGAGTTTGTGGGGAAGCACGACAGGCCCCTGGGGGTGCACATGATCAGAGCTCCTACTAACTGCCTGTCCCTCTCCATTCCTGAAGGCAGGAGGCTGGCAAGAGCCCTGTGCACCAGGGGGACAAGTGGGGTCTGCAGGGCTTGGTACCCGGCAAGCATAGAATGAGAACAGCTCCTACCCCAGGTCCTCAGGGGTTGGCCCATGGGAGGCTGAAGGGAAACCCATAGCCTTCTAGGCTCCATCCAAGGACAGGAGAGGTTAGAGGATGAGGTGCAGCAGAGGGGCTCCCCAGGAGATCTCTGGTGTAGTCAGGAGGTTCCTCACTCAGAAGAGGTGCTGGAGAGAGACCCTTGAGGATGCCCTCACTGATATGGGTGTCAGGATGAAGCCAGACACTGCTTCTGAGAGTCTCAGCCCACCATGTCTCAGTAGTAGCAGTTACACAGGAAGGCGTCCTCCACACACCACCCCTCCAGGAAATCTGTGCACCCTCCTCCCCCCAGTTTCTTGCCAACCTCAGAGAGCGAGAGTGATACGAGGAAGGGTGGGAGGTTATGTTTCCTGACTGCCCGCCCCCCGGCTTCCACTGTGAAGGGTCTGAGGTGGGTGAGGACATAGTAGATCATGCCCCAGACTCCTGTCAGAATCCGTTGTGCCACTCAAACAGCCCGAGATGGACCGTGCTGTAGAGACATGAGGTTTAGGTGCGCAGTTACTGATTTGGACTTTAAGAAGCTGAGCGTGTCTTAGGAAGCCCAATATGTCCCCCCAAAATTTCAAAGGACAACCTCACAAGTCCAACAGAAGGCAGCGATTGTATGAACGTAAAGGCTTCTGGTTTTCAAGTTTGCATCACCCCATATGTCTGGACACCCGTGCACATCCACGCGTAGGTTGTGTTGCTGCAAAACCAAATATCACCTGCAGGTGGCGCTGTAACCTTTCCCAGAACCATGTCGGGGGAACCTGGGAACAGCAGATGCCAACGTGGGCGTCCTTTGAGTTACCGGAGGAAAATATGAAAATACAGATTCCTGGGCTCCAGAATCTTAGAGATTCCAACTCGAGAGGACTGGGTGGGTGGTCCCCTGTGACAGGGACACAGCAGCAGGCTGTGTTTGCGCACACTGCCCTGATAGGTTCCCAGCTCACCCTGGTGCCATGAGTCCTAACATACACACTTTGCCTGGTGAATTTGCATCCCTTTTTGCTTGTTTCTCTTCATGAGACCAACTCCTGTCTTCAGAAACCTCATGTGCTTGATTTTAAGGCCCTTTTCTTTTGAAGAAAACCAGGAAAGTGATGTGTTAGATGGCAAGAGACCCCAGAGAATGGGGAGAGGCAAGGAATTTACTTCTCCATTTAGACCTTGCTAAATAAAGCCTCAGACTGTTCATGGGCATAGTTCCTGCCTTCTATTAGGAGATGTGGGGCCCTGAAGGAAGGATTTCAATGTTTCTGCATCCTTAGGGCTTTCTGAGCAAACAAATCTGGGACTTTGGCTAAAGAAACAGGAAGTTAAGGATGAATTAAAGACAAAAGACCTCTGCGAGAATTAAGAGATAACTCTCCCCCTCTCTCTGGCTCTCTCTGGGTTTACATTTCCAAGTGGGAGATAAAGTCCTTGATTGTAAACTCCAGTTTGTTTGATCCAGCCTCCAAAATGAGCAATTCATTTACATTGTGAAGGATAAGAAGCCAGGGATTTTCCCAGTTTCTCCCAAACTGGCGACATATACAGGAAGGAGAGTAAGGTCTGGAGTGGGAGGGACAGTGTCTATCTGAACCCCCAGGTTTGCATTTTGGGGGTTCCTCTCCGGCAGTTGGAGACTCTCCCTTTGTATGTGCAAAAGTGGTTC